GCTGGCACTGGTTTCTCCCACATCTGGATATCTTCTAAGAAGTTCCGGAGGCACTCGACTTCTTCTCCTGATTTGTCTAGAGCTATGAACTCTGACTCCATGGTTGATCTCACCAGGAGTGTTTGTTTGGAAGATTTCCAGGATACCGCAGCTCCACCAAGAGTAAACACATAACGACTTGTGGATTTAGAATTTCTGGAATCTGATATCCAGTTTGCATCGCTGTACCCTTCAAACACTGATGGTTCTCTACCATAATGCAATCCATAACTTATAGTATATCTCAGATAACTTAAAACCCTTGCTATGGCTTTCCATTGAGTGTGACCTGGATTACTCGTATATCGACTTAGATTGTTTACTGAATGCGCTAAGTCAGGTCTACTACAATTTGTCAAGTACATTAGACTTCTGATCACTCTTGCATACTCCACTTGTGAAACAGCTTCACCTGTATTCTTTATCAAGTGGAGTTGAGGGTCAAAAGGAGTTTTCACGTTCTCGTTTGAGTGGTTCTGAAACCGCTCTATGATCTTTTCCGCGTAATGACTTTGAGATAATATTATCTCTCCAGTGTGTCTTGTAATCTATACCATGAATTACATCTGCTAATCCCAAGTCTTTCATCTCAAACTTCACCTTCAGCATGTTCTTAGTTTGATGAATTATGTCTTTGTTGCTGCCTATGATAAGCATGTCGTCAACATATAGACATAACATAACATATCCATGTGAGGCATCTTTAATGTATAGACATTTATCACATTCATTGATCTGGAAGTTGTTTGACATCACTACACTGTCAAACTTCTCATGCCACTGCTTTTGGAGATTGCTTAAGTCCATATAATGACTTCTTAAATCTGCATACTTTCTACTCTTGTCTAGGAACTGTATAACCCTCGGGTTGATTCATATATATTTCTTCCTCTAAGTCTCCATTTAAGAAAGCTATTTTGACATCCATTTGAAGAATTTCAAAATCTCATAAAGCAGCAATGCCAACCACAGTACATATCGATCTTATTCTCATCACATGAGAATAAGTGTCAAAGAATTCCAATCCTTTCTTTTGACGAAATCCTTTCACTACAAGTCTTGCCTTTTATTTGTCTATAGTGCCATCAATCTTCGTCTTTGTCTTGAAGATCCACCTACACCCAAGAGGTTTGCTCCCTTGTGGTAAATCAACCAATTCATATGTATTGTGTTGCATAATCGAATTGATTTCACTATTAGCAGCCTCCTTCCAAGAAAGTGCGTCAGGTGTAGACATTGCTTATGCAAATATTTGTGGTTGGCTCATTCTTTGCTAGAAAGGCCGTGATGAACTCAAAATATTCTCCTTGCGAGCTCGTTTGCTTCGTCTCTCTTTGTTTATAGAAGTGTCTAATCAACTTACTTCATTTCCGACATCTCGTTCCTCACGAGTTCATTTAGGATTCGCTTTATCCTTACAAGGAAACACATCTTCAAAGAACGAAACGTTCCTAGATTCCATGATCGCGTTCACATATATATCCGGTATATATGACTTATGTACCAGAAAGCGATATGCACTACTATTCTTTGCATATCCAATGAAGATGTAGTCTACCGTTTTAGGTCCAATCGTGACCTTTTTAAGAAGTGGTACTGCAACTTTTGCCAAGCACCCCCACTGTGACTTTCATGTATAAAAGTTCATATAGATTTTTTTCAGAAACTTTGTATGGTATTTTATTCAGGATATAGTTCGAGGTAAGCAATGCTTTCCCTCCACATGTTCTGGGCTAACCCAAATTGCTGCAACAAGGTGTTCATCATCTCCTCGTTCCGAAATAAGTTTCTTAAGTTATTGACTTTTGATATCACCTTATAACTTATGTTACATAAACTATCGGACTAGAAAAAGATGGTCAAGTCTTTGTGCAACACCATACAATCCACGATGATCCATCAAGAACATTGTTTGCACTAGTCCTGGGCCTTTAACCCGGATCCGATGGACCCGAACTGATCCGATCCAAAAAATCCGTTTGGTTCGGTTTCGGTTCTTACTAAATAACCGATTGGTTTTTAATTAATTTTAGTTCGGGTTTCGGTTTGGTTCGGGTAAAACCCAAAAACCGATCGGGTACCCAAATAACCCGAACTAAACCACAAAACCTGATTTTTTATTAACCTAAATTAAAAATCAACCTAATTAAAAAAAACCTAAATATTCTGCCTCTTTAACGGTGCCTCCATCTTTTCCTTTTAAATTCTTCATCTTCACCACCTCTTTTTTCTCCTTTTTGATTCTTCATCTTCTCCACCTGTTACTTTTTCTTCTTGATTCTTCATCTTCTCCACCTCTTTTTTCTCTTCCTTCGTCAAAAAAAAAAAAACTCTACAATAGAAAAATTGTTGTTTCTGCTTTTTCTTATGTTCTTCAACCATGTATTTTTTCCTAACTCATTTTCCTCCACCAAAATCAAAATCTTTAATCACCCTCAAAAATCTTTTCATTGTTCACACTTCACACATAAACTATTACTAGGTGATCGGCCCGCACCGTGTACGGACTATAAAATAATTTATATGTTTAATATATAATTAATATTGTATATTGATGATACTCTATTCATACATAATATTTTTTTTTTGATCTATTGTTAATTAAACCAAATTGAGTTTTACCATTTTTACTTATCCTAAGAGCGGGTAGATGGTTGCACTGTAATCGAGGTTAACAAATTTCATGGACGACAAATTCGTATGAGACTTTGACTTTTGCTTAATTAATATTTATATTCATACGCACATTTGTGGAAAAAACGAGTATGACTTTCATATGTTAAAAGAAAATAGCAATGCATATGTTTTGTAATATATATATATACATATATATTTATAATATGTTATGATTGAATTTTATAAAAGAAATAAATATGTATATATATGCATGTAAGTATGAGCTAGAAATAAATAAATTGTAATATTTAGGTGTTGATTAGTTTTTCTGATATTTTCCGCAAACGTTATGTTTTTACACAATATAGTTTTCGGCTTTTATCAACAATCACGAAAATCATTTCTATCGTTTAGTATCAAATCAAAATTTATTATTTTTCAGTGATTTTTGTTTTTGGTAAATTATTTTTCTGCGTTTTGTGATATATAATTTCAAATTAAAAATTAAATTAAATATTAACAAAAATTAAAAAAAAACTCTAAAAAATAAAATATAAGATTTCACTTTACCATGAAGATAAATATAGTACATTAGATAATCCATTAGTAATTTTCCTTTTCAATAAAAATTTTGTTAAGAATTTGTTATGAAATTTGTGAAATCATATTTTTATAAAAGCAAGTGTGTATTGTAAAATTTGGTATACGCATGTGTTCATTAAAAATAACGTGTCTTTTCAAGATTTTTTAAATAACTTTGTCAAACAAACTGCAATATTTTTACGAATAACTAAAACTGTAAAGATTTATGTTTGTTTTTACTTCCTATTTATATTTTTTTCATCTTATTATCATTTATTCTTTCATTCGATTATTTTTATTTTATTTATGATATTAAATTCTCGATATGTAAAATATGATAAGAGAGAAGATGAGATGGTAATAAAAACCATGTAAATTTAAAAAAACAGCAGTATAAAAAGTGTTAAAATTATATACAAATATATGGTCATATTAATACTATAAAATAGTAATAATTAGTATATACTTTATTCATTTTCCATAATAAGTAATGGTTCGAACAAACAAATTATTTTAAGTTATGTTACTTTTTAAACTTTCAATAAAAGTTAATTATTATTTTATTATTTTTTAAATCTTTTTATTCTTTAAATATTGTATCATGATTCTATTTATTTTAAATTCTACTATTTAATAATGTATCTAATTTAAACCTTTTAGATGTTATTATTATACATTTTTATAAATTAATAACTTTCCAAAATAAGAATATATCATACTTTAAATATTATTAATATATATAATATTTACTATCTTATTGGATAATCTAATATTATATATTTTTTCTTTTAATATGAAATTATAATGTATAAATATGTATATGCATTGTAAAATTTTCGTACTAATACTTTATCTAATTATGAATATGTAAAAAAATTAATCATAATAATTATCTTTTTTGTTACTTTAAAATTATTTATAATCTAGTGTAGTTATGTTTAATTTCAAATTTCTTTAATTTTAATTCAACCAATCAAAACATTTCGTTTATTTTAAGAAATTTGACATGTCACATTTACATGTCATCAATACAATACACTAACTTTGATTGTGAGTGTGATACATCAGCAATTTTTGACTAATTCTACTTTTCAAATAATGTGTAGGAGATAGAAGAAGAGACAAAAATCGCTCAATAATAAAGAAGAAGAACCAAATTAATTTTTCAGATCCAAATTTCAGATCCAAAAAAATCTATATTTTTTTTTTTCAAAACAAAAAGTGTATTTTGAGATAGTTGAGAAATTAACGAGTATTTAAGTGAGCCTATCTCAGTATTTGGGTTTTGACTTATAAATAGACCTGAATTAATTTTTATTTTTTTGGGTTAATCGGTTTATTCGGGTCTATTCGGATTTATTCAGGTTCAAATAGGTTTTTCGGTTCTAAACCCAAAATTTTCTAGTTTATTTCGGGTTTCTCTCAATTTCTAAAACCCGACCAGATCCGAACTAGACCCAAAACGATCCGAACCAATTTTCAACCGTGTCTTAAACAGGTCATAACCTTTTCTATCGGAACTACCCGAATCCGGAAAGACACGACCCGATTCGAAGATCCGAACGCCCAGTTTGCACCTTCATTACTCTAATCAGTTTATATCATTTATTTTGTTCTTGGTGAATATCGGGAATGCCCCATTATATGCCACAAAATGTAAGGGTAATTTCGGCCTTATACGGATAAATTAACACCCGCCACTAAAATCAGACACTTTCAGTTTTAAACAATTTTTCGGGGAAAAAAAAACATACAAACAAAAAATGGCTTTGAAACTCTACTCCCTCTCTTCTCCGCCTTCAATTTTCTCACAATCAAGAAGATTCTCTTCTTCGCTGATTCCAGTAAGATCAAAATTGACAACAAGAACATCTTCACTCCCTGGATTCCACTCGAAAACCGGAGTTTACCTGAGCAAAACGGCGCTTCTGGCGTCTTCGAAAGTGGGTGTTGCGGCGGAGAGTCCTCCGGCGACGATTGCGGCGGCGGATTGGGGAAAAGTATCGGCGGTGCTTTTCGATATGGACGGTGTGCTTTGTAACAGTGAGGATCTTTCAAGACGCGCCGCCGTGGATGTTTTCACAGAGATGGGAGTTGAGGTCACTGTGGATGATTTCGTTCCTTTTATGGGCACAGGTAAAGCTTTTAAGTGGAAGATAATTTTTGATTTTTGTTAGATGAATTGATTTTTTCTTTGTTTCTATGGTTACAAAATTGGGTGTGGGATTTGAATTATTGTTTTGTTGTTGAATCCAAATATCCGGTGTCGATTTGTCGAATTTCATGAAATTTTATGATTTTTTTGACGAATTCTTTTTTAGATTAACTGATGAATCCGAATTTCTGATTTTGTTTTGTCGAATTTCACGGCAAAATTTCATCTGAGAAAATCCTGTTCAATAATTGGCCACTTTGAGCTTTTATCAGTATAGAATGATTTCAAATGCTTTCTTTTTATGTTTTTCATGATAAATGTTTTTATTTTAATGTTTCTTTCATCATTTTGAGCTTTAATCAGTATCGAATGATTTGATATGGTTTCTTGTTAAAGTTTTCATGATGGATGTTTTTATTTCAATGTGTGTTTAGCTGATTGGTTTCATCGTTTTATTGGATTGGCAATTCATAGGTGAAGCCAAGTTCTTAGGAGGTGTTGCTTCCGTCAAAGGAGTAAAAGGATTTGATCCAGATGCAGCTAAAAAGAGGTTCTTCGAAATATATCTCGATAAGGTACGCTCTATCGTTGTACTAACGGAAGATTGGTATGGCTTCTTGGTTATAATTCATTAGGAAGGTAATCAAATTTACATCAGAGACTGATAAGAAAGTTTCTTGAAAGGGAATGTGACCAAAACTCAGGCTTTGTTGTGTTTGATTATAGTACGCGAAGCCGGAATCTGGGATTGGATTTCCAGGAGCACTAGAGCTTGTTACTGAGGTGAGGAATCAGACTCAAGTTGTTTAACAGTTATACTTTTTGGATTATGATTTGCAATGAAACTCTTGAAACAGTGTAAGAACAGAGGTCTCAAGGTTGCTGTTGCATCTAGTGCTGACCGAATCAAAGTTGATGCAAACCTGAAAGCAGCAGGTTTGTCTTTAACCATGTAAGACTATAACAAAACCTTTGATCTCTTTAGTAATCATTTCCTAATTATGTTCCAAAGCATTTGTATATATGGATATAATTGCCTGTTGCAGTGTGTAATGGATCTGTCATGATAACTTTTCAGGTTTGATGCCATTGTTTCAGCAGATGCCTTTGAGAATTTGAAACCAGCTCCAGATATTTTCTTGGCTGCTTCAAAGATCTTGGGTGTGCCGACAAGCGAGGTAATAGTCGAAAACCGTATCTCATGATTCAGTTTTTATTTTTAATTCCTTCTGTAGTCTTTGGGAAGTCTCGTGGAGTAGATGAATAAAGTGTGCCATAGAGAATAGAACTGTTAATGTTAAGATAGTTACTAGAAGCTAAAAATTAATCAAAATAAAATTTATTCTTCTACAGAAGTGGTTTATATTTGTTTACAATTTTGTAGTGTGTTGTTATTGAAGATGCACTTGCTGGAGTCCAGGCTGCCCAAGCTGCAAACATGAGGTATACTTTACGAATGAGTCAAAAAACTTTTGTAAAAGTCAATTTTTGTTATTTCTCATTTCATTTGAATACAAACAAATTTCTTTTGATTACAACATTAGTATTTTTTAAGATGTCACTATGAAGTCTGTAGAATAACTAGATTAGTGTTTAATGTTAAATCCATCCCTTTGCTTTATTGATATTGTTTCACTCAAAGAATCAACAAATTATCTTCTGTGAGTTGAAATGCCTAGAGTAAATCCATCTACTCGCTTTCTTTTCTCTGCATTTGGATCATTTTATTCATTTTCTAAATTTGCAGATGCATAGCTGTGAAAACTACTTTATCTGAAGCAATTCTTAAGGACGCCGGCCCGTCAATGATCCGAGACGATATCGGAAACATTTCAATCAGTGATATTCTCACCGGTGGCTCAGATTCTACCAGTATGTAGTCTCAAAAGAAACTCGCAGCAAAACATTGTTCGTTTCTTTGTGTCTTTATCTCTTGTTTACAGGGGATTTCTTTGTAATCAGATTACATTTACCATATTATTTTTTAACACTGCAAACATCCATTTCTACTTGAGTTATCTCTAGGCTTATAAATCTCTTACACGTTTTCAGAAGTTTCTTTTTACGTTCTTGAGTACTCATAAGATTGCAGATGAAAAGCCCCATAGAACTGAGAGCTTGCGTGCTTCCGCAGGAACTTCTGCAAATATTGTACAAGAGAAAACTATCAATGACAAAACCGACGGTGACGGGTAAGAAAGTTTCCTTAATCTACACACAATAATAACCCAGTAGAAGTCCTCTGGTTATCAGTCATATTCATCTTCTTCATGTAGGTTCTTTGTAACTGAACATGAAGTATAGGGTTTATGTTTACATTATTCAAGTAAAACTATGAAGAAAACAAGAAATATTTTACTCATTGACTGATTCCAGCATTCGAGATTAGATAAACGATTTGGCATTTGGGAAATTTCATATACTTGAGATTGCAGATGAAATTTTCCAACAGGTTTCAAGGTTCTCGTCGAGATATACTGAGATACGGGAGTCTTGGTATTGCTCTTTCTTGCGTCTTCTTTGCTGCCAGCAACTGGAAGGTGAACCTGAAAAGTATACATTCATGAATGTTTTTGTTAGCAAAAGCTTTTCATTATTTTTATCTTATGGAGTTGCTTTTCTTATACAATAGGCAATGCAATATGCTTCTCCGAAAGCTTTGTGGAACGCATTGGTCGGAGCAACAATCCCTTCTTTTACACAGAACCAAGGTTTTGGGCCTTTTGGCCCTTTGTCAAAATTTCCACAACACTTTTTTTCTATGTTAGCATAAGCTTTACATACAGCTTTCTTATAAGTTATAACCAATGTCAGTTACTTTGAAAACTTACACAACTCTGTTTAGTAGTTAGCTTTATAGTTGTCGCATTAAATAAGCTTACACAAATCTGTTTAGTAGTTAGCTTTATAGAGAAATGCAATTCAATTTTACAATTATTCTATCTTGAGATGAAAAACAGTATGATACATTGGAGATGCTCTAAGATGAACTAATCTCCATGTTTAATACATTTTAAAAAACATGTATGGCTAGAAAACGAACTAAAAACTGATTTTCTTACTAGAGAAGTTGTCTTAAAGAACAATCTGTATAGTTTTATCGCTACTGAATCCTGGTTTTTTTGTCTAACCTTGTAGGTGAAGGGAGGTTAAACAGAGTCCAACAGTTTGTGTATTACATTGCTGATCTAGAGAGCAAGTAAGAATAACTATTTCATAACAATCCAGTCTAGAGTTTGGTTATCATCCGTTAGTGTTATTTATAGACACAAACTGGAAAAAGAAATTGTGGGTGATCTTTTGTTTTGATGATCTTGTGTTTCTAAATAGCTCTGTTTTTCTTATTTTTACTTCTAGGCAAACAGCTACAACGGTGCCCGAATTCCCAACTAAACTCGACTGGCTAAACACCGCTCCTCTCCAGTTTCGCCGGGTAAATTCTCATTTTAAGCTATGTGAAGAGTTGATTACATGCTTCTTGAAGACGTGTTTAGGATTAGTTTATCAATGTATTAAGTGAGCACTTGACGAACAAAGGGACCATCACATGCTTCTTAATGACTTGTGAAATTTTGTGAGCAGGATCTGCAAGGGAAAGTGGTTATACTTGATTTTTGGACCTACTGCTGCATAAACTGTATGCACGTATTACCGGATCTAGCGTTTCTTGAGAAGAAGTACAAGGACATGCCAGTGGGTCTTTAATTATTTCTGAGTCTTTCTTTGGAACTCCAAGAACCAAAGCTTCAACCTTAGAGTTGCCGTCTGTTTTTTTTCTTTTGCAGTTTACCGTTGTAGGTGTACACTCGGCTAAGTTCGACAATGAGAAGGACTTAGAAGCCATACGAAATGCAGTTCTACGCTACGAAATCACCCACCCGGTAATTTTCATGTTCTGAAAACTTGAATACTTCTTAAAGATCTGTCTGGGAGCATTGCTTATGAAACCAATTCCTGGAATTTTTTTTTGTTTGTGAACTGACTGTTCTGGAGCATTGTAGTGATGTGATCACATTTCTTTATTAGAAACGTTTTAGTTGGTCAGAATCTTACATCATTTTTTTTGCATTTTTGACAATAACATTTGATACTTTTCCGTGCTCTGTTATTATTATTATTCAGTAATTATGGGTGTATTCGCTTAATTAGTTATTCTCTTACTTTAAAGGTTGTGAACGATGGAGATATGTACTTGTGGAGAGAGCTCGGCATCAACTCGTGGCCGACATTTGCTGTTGTCTCACCAAATGGCAAACTCATTGCACAAATCGCCGGAGAAGGTCATCGCAAAGTAACATATTTATCCCTTTTCCTATACCATTTCTTCTCTCATCCCTAAGTCTAAACATATATACGACCTTATAGCAAACCAAGAATGTCACGTTTTTTGTTTCCAATATGTTCTGCTAGAGAGTGAAAATATACATTCAAACTCATTTTTTGTTCATCGGTTTCGTTACTTTTAAGGATCTTGATGACTTGGTGGCAGCAGCTCTTATGTATTTTGGCGACAAGAATGTCTTAGACAGTACTCCGCTTCCTACACGTTTGGAGAAAGACAACGACCCGCGCTTGGCCGCGTCTCCGTTGAAATTCCCGGGGAAGTTGGCGATTGATACTCTTAACAACAGGCTATTTATCTCAGACAGTAACCATAACCGTATTGTATGTCCATGACTCTCTATGTAACACTTTATGTTATCTTCTTCTTGTTCTCTAATATCAATAGTCTATGGTGATTTCAGATCGTAACTGATCTTGACGGAAATTTCATCGTCCAAATCGGTAGTACCGGAGAAGAAGGTCTCCGTGATGGTTCCTTCGAAGATGCTGCATTCAATCGTCCTCAGGTACATATAAGAACAGTCTCACTTTATATTAATTGTTCCTCAATATGTCTCATTTATCTCTTCTTGTTGTATTTTTTTAAGGGTCTCGCTTATAATGCGAAGACGAATCTTCTTTATGTTGCTGACACTGAGAATCATGCTTTGAGGTATGCATAGAATGTATGTCCTTGTGTTGATTATAATGCATACAAGAAATCTCAATTTTGGATTTATATTGATTTTTTAATATTAGGGAGATTGATTTTGTCAACGAAAGAGTACAGACTCTGGCTGGTAATGGAACTAAAGGCTCCGACTATCAAGGTGGAAGAAAAGGAACCTCACAGGCAAGAAACTTGATTCGGTTTTGAACTGTGAACTTGTCGACTCTGAACAATTACGGATTAAATGTTTTGGAATTTGAATATTTTCAGCTTCTGAACTCTCCTTGGGATGTATGCTTTGAGCCCGTGAACGAGAAAGTCTATGTAGCAATGGCGGGTCAGCACCAGATTTGGGAATACAATGTTCTTGATGGTGTTACTAAATTTTTCAGTGGAAACGGCTATGAAAGAAACCTCAATGGTTCTACGTATGCATACATTAACTGTTGAGTTACGTTGACCAATGTTTGTTTTTCTATATGCTTATGTTGTTTTGTTGTTGATGCAGACCTCAGACAACAGCATTTGCTCAGCCTTCAGGAATCTCGTTAAGCCCTGGTAATTACTCAAACTTCAAACTAGTCTTCTTTAGTTGTGAGAAAGCTATTAAAAACGAGTTATATGGTGTAATGTGACTATTAGATTTCAAGGAAGCATATATTGCTGATAGTGAGAGTAGTTCTATTCGTGCTCTTGATCTTCAAACTGGAGGATCAAGATTGCTTGCTGGTGGTGATCCTTATTTCTCTGAGAATCTTTTCAAGGTAATAATGACTTGATTCGTTTTATCCTAAAGTCTAATTTAAGCATTTCATGTTTCACTCTAGTGGATTAACACGAGCTAAGTCTTCAACAGTTTGGAGACAACGACGGTGTGGGAGCAGAAGTTCTCCTGCAACATCCATTAGGGGTGTTATGCGCAAAGGACGGTCAAGTATATTTTGCTGATAGCTATAACCACAAGGTAAATTGATTTGGCAAGTCTAAGAAGATATCTCTCTGTTATAATAAAAGAGAAATTCTTGAATGATACAAAATATTAACTCAATGCTATGTCTTAACCACATACTTTGATGTGTAGATTAAAAAGCTAGACCCTGTGACCAAACGTGTTGTGACACTCGCTGGAACAGGAAAAGCCGGTTTCAAAGATGGGAAGGTCATGGATGCTCAGGTCTGATCTTAGTTAACACAATCTTGGACGTTGATTAAACGGACGGTCTGATTTGTAAGTATTAACTCATTTAACTCATTTAACTCATTTTTCTTTTCCATTGTCTGTTGCAGCTTTCAGAGCCTGCAGGACTTGCTCTAACTGAAAACGGTAACTTTCTGGTCCCTTTAACAGTGTTTTTCAGGTCTGAGCATTCGGTTTTTGGGGGTTTTTACTTTTTAGGGTTGATTTATTCTGTTCTCGGTTTGTTCGGGTTGGAGAAAATTCTGTCAAAAAAAAAAAAATCGTTTTGATTCGGGTCTTTTGGTTCGGTTTCAAGACAGTTTAGTTCGGTTCTTTGGTTTGGTTTTTTGGCTATACATCAAAAGAATTTTGGTACATCCGGTTAAATTTGGTTATTCAGATGTTCGGTTCTCAAATTTTTTTTTTTTTTTCGATTTGTTTTTCTTATTTTGGTAAACTGGTTTGGAATTTTTTCAGGGCGGCTTTTCGTGGCGGATACAAACAATAGTCTTATACGATACATAGATTTGAGCAAGGAAGTAGACGCAGAGATTGTTACACTCGAGTTAAAAGGCGTGCAACCGCCAATGCCAAATGCGAAATCCTTGAAACGTTTGCGAAAACGTGCCTCGGCTGATACAAAGATTATCACAGTGGATGCTGTTACATCTCGTGAAGGAGACTTGAATCTCAAAATCTCATTACCAGATGGCTACCACTTCTCCAAAGTCGTCAATCTCTTCCTATCCTCTTTATCTGTCTCTATCAATCTTCTATCAATCTCTTATACATGTTGCTCTTTGTGTATAGGAAGCGAGAAGTAAGTTTGTGGTTGATGTGGAGCCTGAAAACGCAGTAATGGTCGAGCCAACGGAAGGAAATCTCAGCCCTGAAGGTTCAATGATGATTCATTTTAGACAATATTTAACTTCGGCTTCTGTTGGGAAAATCAGTTGCAAGGTTTGTTTCAATATCTTTGATTCAACTAAACTAATTTTTCTAGCTTTCAGTTTTTGTGCTTTTTCATCTACTCTTGTTCTTAAAATCGGCCGCCTAACCGCATAGACAGACACTTAGTCACTTTGCGTGACACTTACGCCCCAATTTCAGCCTGATCGGTCAATAAATATCTGATTAATCTCCGCCTACACCAATTAATTTCCATCTTGGCCGATCAATTCCCGGTTAAGTGGCCGTCTAGCCTATTTTTTTTTTTTGTTTTAAAGAATTTTGTTTGATCTAAATTTATGTTCAGAAAGTTCGTGTTTTATGCAATCTTGAACACAGGATTATATCAAAGTTATAGATATGCATGGGTTATAATAGGATGCGTGTCCTCTTCCAAATAAAGCTACCAGTATAAGTATTTTAAACAAAATTGTTTTTGTAATTGTAAAGATAGTTTATGGAAATTTTAATTGCAGGTATACTATTGCAAAGAAGATGAGGTTTGCTTGTACCAATCCGTTCAGTTTGAGGTACCTTTTAAAGTTGAATCAGAATCATCTGCTTCTCAGGCTATCGCATTCACCGTTAAACCTAGAGCATCTGATGCCGGCGGGTTACAGCTTCAAGCTACTAGCTGAACCACTTGATCATGATCATGATATGGTAAAATTTATTGAGTTGGAGTTTATTTTTGACCAAAGCTGAAAGTATAGAAGAAGCTGATCAAAGAACAACGTTTCCAAATATTGTATGAAATTGCTGAGCAATGCTGAATCACAAAGTGGGAAAGCTTTTACCTAACTTTCATGTCAAACCAATTTGATTAATTAAGAATTCTCAATGCATATAACAATTCTAGATCAATGAAAATATAAGCTCTGGCAAGAGATATTTAACACATGGTTTGGGCACCAAAGTTCAAAAAATGATGAGCTTAAAATTTAAGATCCAAAGATATTGTTCCTCTAAACTATACTTAAACCTTTGATGATCAGATCTTGATGTGTTAGATAAGTGACACACAACTTTTTAGGGTTAGTGCAATCTCATTGCACTAGATTTAGCAAATGAGTTAATCAATTCAAGCTTAGGAGGGAGGGGGGGAGGGGGGTATAAAGAAAATACAACAGTCTTGCTAAGCTAGACAATAAAGGGGTTCAAATGGCCTCATACTCAATTAAACAAACAAGTGCAAACATGTAACTAATGTAACCAAGGCATAAACATTAAACAAGAGCAATTCTAATGGCAAGCAAAACAGAGCAAATAATTGACTAGTTCGAATTAATAAAAAGGAAGGTCTAAGACGAAGAGGATGTTAGTGGGAGTAAGATTTATATAGAGTTGTGATGATTTTAAAAGTTAAGAGATTTGTTAAATTTGTAAATAGTTTGTTAGATTTAAAGAGAGTTATGAATATTTAGAAAATCTATCAAAATCTTTTATTATAATGATTTTAAGAATCTAAGGTATATAGATAGTATTTTGAAAGTTTTGTTTAATGAGTTAAATTGTTAACATTCTATGTCCCAATAACAAAGATTTTAATAGATTATTAGAATCATTAAAAACCAAACTGTTTGAATAATAATAGTTTTTGTATAGAATTTGAAAATCTTTATACCAATAACAATGGATTTTCGTAAGAATGTTAAAATCCATCTACCATTTTTCAAAGTCGATACACCATTTTCAAACAATAAACCTCATTCAAGCATTCTATCAAACACCTAAGATGCAAGAAAAACGCCTATGATTCATTTTTCAAAGGGAGATACTTGGCCTTAAGCACAATCACACAAGAAGAGATTAACAAAGATCTAACATCCTAACACCTTAATCAATCATTGAAACTATCCCAATCTACCTTACTCTCAAATCTAAAGTTGACTACTCACTAATCATGTATAAATCCACAAGGTTATGGTTAAACATGATTATTAGTAGATAAAAGACAAAGACTAAAAGGGAAATACAAGACATTATTGAAATATAAACTTTAGGATCAAACTTGTTCTTAAGAGAAGTTCTTGAAAATAAAGAAAGATTATTTGGTTTTTATGTGACAAAGCAAGAAAATTACATGGATAAGATGTTTTTGGACCAAGTCTATTTATAGGAGAGATCAAAAATAGACATGGTCAACTTAAAATAACCTAGTCAACACTTGATCAACAATCTGGAAATAGCCTATACCGAGCAAGGCAGAAACATGCTCTCCATGGTGCAATTGCTTGGTGCATCTGAAGGTGCTGCGTCTGAAGTCTTGTTCCTGGCTCGCACCGTGCACTGCATCGGATAGCTCTACTCGGTGTAGTCCTTGATATGTCCTATCTCTTCTTGTATCGGGCTCGGTTAGCATGGACCTCCTTGGTGCGGTTGCACGGTATGAGTCTTGGATCATCATCTTGGTCATCGCCCTCGGAATTTGTACGCACCAGACATGGGCAATGGCGCCCTCCACGGTATGGCTGACAGTATAGTTTATGGACAGTTTGAAAACTTGCTTCCAGCTTGATTCCTCTTCTCCACTCAATCCACCATTCTTCTAGTGCTCTCCTAAGCTCCTCAAAAACGTGAAAATACACTCAAAATGCAAGGATGTATGCAAATCTAATGTAAGCGAAGTCTAAAATAGATTAAAATGGGGCACTTAGAACCTAAAATGGATGGAAATGAAGTGAAAACCTATGCTAAATTATACCTATTATGATGTAATTATCCCCCACACTTAACTCTTTGTTTGCCCCCAAGCAATCAAAATGAACAAGATGGAAGAGAAGTTTCAAAGTGGGGAACTCATATCTGAAAATGATATTGTAAGATCAAGTCAACGTCCATGTTTGCAATTCTAAGATGCACTTGATGTAACATTAGTCTAAGATCCTAGCCACACTCATCACAATATGGAAATGATTTTCAAGTTATCAATCTACACACGCTATTTACTCACTCAACCTTTTTAATATCCACTAAATTTCAACAAAGTGGATCATGCTTATGCAAATGCAAGTGTTATCATTTGGCTACAAGGACAAAGCTATGAGATAGATATGATCTCGTTTAATTTTGAAGTGGTTAGGTGTTTAAGGGGTTCTCTCATGAAAAGAAGATTGAGATATGGTAAAATGCTAAGGGTAAAGAACAACTTATGCATACAAAAGAAGACTTCCACAAAAGTGAATCCTAAAATCTTACTTATACCCATCACTACCATCCTATACTACCCTTATTAAACTTTTAAAACCCCAGAAAGAATCCCAACTCCTCTTCTCTTCTTTAAGCGGTTAGGATGCATTTTTCTTTTAAGGAACTTCTTGGTGGTGGGCTTCTTTTGTTGCTGGCTCTTCTTTGCTTATGCTGGTGCTCCTCATCCTCTGGGTGTTTTAGACTTATTTCTGCACACTTCTTTGTTTCTTGCTTGAGCTGCCATTTTTGATATTTGCCAAACCATTTCTAAGATTACTTGTGTTGCACTCCTTCTTTGCTTCCTTGCTTTCTTTCTTATTTCTCCTTGTTAAAACCCAAAATAAAAATCCCAAATCATCCCTTACTTATCCAAAAAAACTTAGCCTATCTAGCTCAAGAGGGTGAGCTAGTTCTACAATGGAAGGGATCCTTGTAGTTCTAAACCCAACACTTTTTACTTATTTTAATCATAAAGAAAATGCCTCACAATCACTCACTAGAAATTCTGGCTTGAAAGAAGGTTTGGTTAATGGTGGGGAAGTCTACTTGGATTCACAAGAGTGGATAAAAAGATACGAAAATCCAATTATGTATAAATCTATCCATGATAACAATGCAATACATAAGACATGATAATTCAATATTCAAATTAAGGTTCTTCTTTAGTAAATGTTGAGATAATTTCAAGCAAGTTTCAACTTTAAAGAAGAGTTACAAATCATGTATTCCAAGAGTGGTTCAGACTTATTTAAAGTTCTCATCAAATGCATTAAAGAATTATAAACAACGGCATTGGTTTCATCTAAACAATATCATTTCACATGGATGTATCTATCATTGTTCCCACTTTGAACACAAGCAACCTAAGATAAATGATATGCAACTAGAATCAATCTATAATGCATGCAAATGAACACTCTATTTTTGAGGAATAAATTTTTTAGTTTTAATTTTTTTTGAATTTTCTATGCATTAGATGCTAAATAATGCATAAGTTTCTAAAATGCAACAAAATACACAAAATACTTGAATCAAATGCTTAAACTAAATGTAAAAAACTGCAAGAAAATTCATTAGTCTCAACCCCACCCACACACACACTAAAAATGCAAAAAGAGGCAATAATCAACCAACAATTGAAAAATTAAGAGAAGTAAAATTATGTAATGGTATATACAATGGGATAGTGAGTGTACCTTTAGGTCAAGGATGTGTGAGAGAGTAAACTCTCCATACTTTGAGAGGGGCTTTTTATTAGTGAATGTGAAGCATATCTCTTCTTACCCCTCCTCTTTCGGCCAGCTTCAGGGATGAGTGTCTAGAGAGCTCCATGGAAGTTGTTGCTCCAATTGTGACATGGAATGAATGGCGCCTGTCTCCAGTCTCTCCTTCTAGCATCACACCTTGGTGTCCCACTTCTTTCCTTGCTTAGCTCTGCTTTTTCTCTTTGGAGAAGAAGAGTCACCACCAATCTTATTTTTGAGCTTGTGGACCTTCTTCTTCAAGATCTTCACTGATTTGAACAAACTTTGGATGGTTTTTTCCTGAAGCTTATTCCATCTTTGTAGGAGTTTGATGTGATGGCGAGCTAATCTTGTATCTTCAGAGGGACAAGGCCTTGAGAATGGCTCAAAGTGGTACATATCACTTTCATCTCTTTGGGCTCCTCTCTCCTCCTGCGCTTGGAGCTCTTCATCTTGACTATCCTCTTGGGTATCATGTGGTGCGGTACTCTTCATCATTCTTATCTTAAGTAGAGGCTCATGGGCAACGGGTTGTATAGGTGGGCTTCATCCACTTAAACCAAACATTTTCTTGCTTGCTAAAAGTGGTGAAATGGCACTTGGGAAGAATGATTCTTTGCTTTTTGTCTCCCAACTCAAACTGATATGCATAATCATCTCTCAACCCTCCAACTAAGAAGTCAGCCTTGCTAATATAAGCCACATCAAGGTAAGCAATGGGATGGAAAGCTTCCTTTAAGTTCACGCAAGCAGCAAGCAAGATGGGAGTGATAAGTCCTCCAATGGCGAGCTTGGGTTTCTTGAAAAAGGTGTTGATAGCCCACTGTTGGTGTGGGACAAATTGTCTCATCAGGAGGGTTATGAGTCCCGCTCCTTGATGATCTCCCATTATTGGTCCTCCTATTGTTTCCAAAAGTATATATTTAAGACCACTGATCAACAATCCAAGCTCTTTCTCCTTAGCCATGTTGTGCTCTTTTCTATAGAAGAAGGTGTTTGCTAGGATTATGCATATCTGATAGCTGGGTGTCTGATGCTAGCACTCTTGAAGCGGCCTTTCTTGTATACCCCATTGGTAATTGCTTCCCACACATTCTTGGGCTCATTTCTGCAAAAGACATCTACATAGCTCTAGTTGTGCCTTCTCTAAACCCAAATACCTCATTCATCTCATTGAATCTCATCTTGTAGTTGTTCTTGACCAC